ATCATGTGGTTGTCACTATCAAACAGTTCTCAAACAAAGATTATAACTTAACCAAAGTAAAGTGCGTGCTCTGAGTGGTCAATTTAGCGTCCCCCATTTGCCCATGGGTGTACGCTGCTGACGTGAGCAAATGCAAAGACTATTTTTCCGCGCACGTTTGTTTTTTCTGGTCACATTAAGATTTGTTAAATAAAAGGGAACTCTTTAGCTACAATGTATCAATGTTATGTTATAAAACAAATGGTAAACACCACAGCGTACACTATTGAGTCATGGATGCACTTGGGAGGTTTGCTAAGCACTCAAGAAGCTAGAGTTGCACTCGGCTATTGCCTTGTGCGACTCTTACGCTTCTTTTGTGCTTAGCAACCTCCTGCATGCATCCATAACTCAATAGTGTGCGCTGTGATGTTTACCATTTGTTAATAACTTATTATTAGTACTTAAATTATTAATATTTTTGCAGAACTCTTTGTGGAACTCCAAATTACATTGCACCTGAAGTGCTCAATAAGAAAGGACACAGTTTTGAGGTGGATGTCTGGTCATTGGGATGTATCTTGTAAGTCTAGTAAGGCCAATATGAACTGTAGCCAATTTTCTTGGTAATTGAAAAATGTGTAGGACCTGGAATTTGACTATAATTTTTCCTGAAAATTTTGTTTCAGTCAGGTCCCTGATTGAAAATGGCTCGCTGATTTATAATTGCAAGGACTAAATAGTCTCTTATGACAATTACAGGTACACTCTTCTTGTTGGAAAGCCACCTTTTGAAACCTCTTCCTTGAAGGATACTTACCAGCGTATCAAAAGAAATGAATACTACATTCCTTCTAAAGTTTCTCACCCTGCACAACTTTTGATTATCAAGCTTTTACGACCAGACCCTGCCACAAGACCTGGCCTTCAACAAGTTCTAGATGATGATTTCTTCAAGGGATTCGCACCGAGCCGCATGCCAGTCAGCAGTTTAACCATGGTACCCAGGTTTGCCACGGGATCTTCCTCAAACCTACTTGGTACATCTAGAAGGCCACTCAATGAGTTGAACGCACAAGAACCTGCCGTAAGCACTGCCAAGAAGGACAAGGCTGCCTTTTTGGAAAAAGTAAGCAACAGAAGGTCACTGGGTGTTCGAGTTTGTGGTGCGGAGAGTAAACTGATTATGCCTGGTGAAGCTGTTGCTGAGGAGCTAAAGGAGGAAAATCAAGAAGGTGAGTCTAGCCAGGTTTTCTCCCAGCATTACATTAAAAAAGTGAAAAGGAGATTGTTTGTGGCTTTCAATTTTTACACCATTTGCAACCTTCTTTGCTGTAATTCTTGGCTTAATATGGTCTTGGTTATTTTTGTAGTAGAGATACCCAAAGACTGTTATCTTTCCCAACTACACAAGCTGATTACGTCCTGTCTGGACACAAGACCTTATCCTCCCCATCGACCCTGCATTAATGAAGGTGAGAGTTTGCTTGAATTAATTTTAACAATACCATATGATTATGCATACCAATTGAAAAGGTTTTCGAGCATAGTAAGGGAGATCCCAGAAACTGTTTAATAACACTTTGATGAAGAGGGTTAAGTAATGGCCAATCTGCTCAAGTGGACAACTAGAATTGTCTCAACAAATTAAATCAAAGAACAATGTTCGTCTTGTCTTTTGCATCCACATTTAAAATTTCAAAGTCACCAAATTCTGTCAGGGCCCAATCTGCTCAAGTCATAAGACAGGCCTGTATTTTTCCGAACCGATTCAAACTTAAACTGCAATTTTCAGGATGGTCTTAGGTTGTTTTTCAATTTTAAAATCCACAAGTTTTGCCTTCCTGGTAACATTAAAAGTATGAAATCTGTAACTCTCATCCTACACAGTTGCAATGGTTTTGATTTAAGATTTAAACAGGAGGAATTTTTTATTTCTTAACAGATGATGCTGAAGACCCAGCATACGTTCCAGTATACTGGGTTGGTAAGTGGGTGGATTATTCCGACAAGTACGGCTTTGGTTACCAACTTAGTGACAACAGTGTAGGAGTTCTATTTAATGACTTAACAAGAGTCATTCTTTACCAGGATGGAGAGTAAGTAGTGGAGAGTAGATGTCCCTCTATATTTTGTGTCTTATCCCTCTTACTCCAAAATTCTCATTCATTTAGTAATTCTCCTCAATGTCTGCTATAGAATTCCTATGATGTTAGTTTGGAGAATTTGGCCTTGGATCAACTGATAATCCCCTAGTTGATATTTATCTCAATTCTTATCACTTGTCCTCTTGATGTTGTATAGATATTGTTATAGGAGAGATTCTGTTGTGGTCACTCATGAGTTAAAGGGTTATTCAATTATAATCTTAATACTTGTTACTTGAGGTAACAAGTTTGACAAATAACTGTTCTGACAATTTTGTGTCTCGTTTTAGAAATGTCTCATTGTAGCTATTGTTGCATTGAAATCAACATAGGTAGTTTAATACCCTGTGAGCAGAGCATTTTCAACCCGTCCTCTAATCGAAAGGGGGAAAAGGCTCTGTCGACATCCTGTTGTTGCTCGTTTGAACATGCGGGGCGGTTGCCTAGAAACTGATCCTTTTCCAGGCCCCCTTGAACTATTGTGGGTGCAGATTTGGTCATCTGTGTACATGAAAAACAAAGGCATGTGCACCAAAACTGGTTTGACTGGAGGCAAAATCGGCTTGACTAACCCGGAGTTTTGGGCTTTTGGTATTTCAATGCAACAACAGGATGTTGGCAGAGCCATTTCCCTTGGAGGGTTAAAAAGAAAAAAAGGCTCTGCTTGCAGGGTAGTAGTTTAATGGACAAGTCAATTTATTTTTGCTTGGGGTTTGCCTTAGAAAATGTAAATATTTTAAAATAATTATAATTTGTACTAAAAAATATTAATATTTTGTCAATTTTTCTCCTCATAGCAATCTGCAGTACATTGATGAAGAAGGAAAAGAGCATTATCACACACTAAAGGGTTACCCTAAATACCTTGAAAAGAAAGTGACCCTTTTGAAACACTTCCTGACATACATGAATGATCACTTATTAAAGGTATTTTACAAAGTAAAATTTCAAAATGATAAGTTATTAAAATACTATTAACTAAAGGAGAATTGAGTATAATGCCTGTCCACCTCGGATGTGTAGGCCATTGAAAACCTGGGAAGTCATGAAAAGTCTTGGAAAATGACTGGCAGGAGTGGATCTTTTAGAGAACTCCTTTAATCATTAATTAAAAGAAATAATTTAAAAATGATTGAATGATTATTTTTCAAGTCACATGTTAAATCCAAATTAGAAACAAAAAAAAACATGAAAAAAGGCTGGGAAAGGTCATATAAATTCATGGAAATTGAAAAGTTTTCAAAGTCAAACCCTGATTTGCTTTTGAAGGAAATTCATCATTTTGTGGTTTTCTTTCATTTTTGAAGTAAACAGATCTTGATGAAATTATGGTAAAAGGGGTCTCTGCCAGATTAAACTAATTTTGTCTTAGAACCCTGTGACAACTGATATTGGTGAATGGTACACCTGTTCTGAAGTAGCAGGGGAAAACCCTGTAAAGCAAGTATGCAGTATGATTCCATGGGTGAACTTGTGTGACATTCGCGATATTAACTCAAACTGAATGTGACCAGTAAGAGTTAAATAGATTTAATTGTTTGTATTCAGGCTGGTGCAGGTGCCAAAGGTGCTAAAGAAGATGAGTCTGCAAGGTTACCTTTCTTGAAACAGTGGTTCCGTACGAAAGAAGCCATTGTACTGCATCTCACTAATGGCACTCTACAGGTGAATACATGACTTCCTAATCTATTTATTGGTACTAATTAAATGATTAAGAGGTAATTACTTGAAGGTGTGACACCAAACATTGTTGCTTTTATAACTCTCTGATATTGTTGGTAAGGTTTATTAAAATAAAACTATTAATATTAACTACCAAGATCTGTAGTATCCCCATTCAGTAGCTTTTCTATCAGTAGAGCATCTTACTTCCAACTGCAACTGTTAAGGATTGTAGTGCTCATGGAAAACTTGCAGAAATGTTATTCTTTGCACATAGCTATTAACAAATTTAAACATAAGATTTGATAGTAATTGCTGGTCTGAGCTGTATTTCAGTCTCTTTCTGTATTTTGTCTCATTTCCCTTTACAAATGAATGTAAAATTTTAATTATCTATCTTTTTTATCCAGATTAACTTTTTCAAGGACCATACCAAGATTATGGTGTGCCCTCTGATGGGAGCAGTGACGTACATTGATGAGAGCAAAAGATTCAGAACATTCCCCCTGAAAAACATTGAGAAACATGGCTGTAGTGCCAGTATAGCCAAACGGCTTAGCTATGCTCGTAAAATGATAGAGCAAGTACAAGAAACTGAAAAGAGAGGCAACAAAGATTAAATAATATGAACTGAATTTTGCTGGCTTTACTTGAGTTAGTAATCTTTTCTTTCTGATGTTTTTCTCTTGATTTCTAGATAAAATAGAATGATAGGTTCCTCATTTTATTCAATCATAATCTCTGTGTAGAATTTTACTGTTTATAGTGATGAGTTGAATCTTCATTATCAAACTATTTACTTGCAAAGTAATAGTAGAAGCTGTGAGCAAGTTGCACACGTGAGTTGTGCTTCTTTTCCAAACATTTCTGTTGTTTCATCTGATGCTGAACATTCATCTTTTCTCAACCTCGACAATTTGTGAATGAATTGGTGATTTTGATGCAACCATTTTATAGATTATATGTTGAAGATGATTTTGAGACCATAGGTCGACCACTTTGACATGTATCTCCAATGAGAGCACATACAGTGGCCTTGTAAGAAATAAACCTCTCAGTGAGAAAAGGGAAGGAATTCAATCCTTAGAAGCTTCAAATTAGTTGAAGGTAACTCCCAGAGTTAATTTCAAGGATTTTACTTATTTAAAAGTGCTCATCAAATGAAAATGATTTGATGAAATTCAAGATATTAATTTCCCTTCACAGCCTATTAGACATTAAATACTCCCAATGCTTTTCCATTTGGTTAAGAATATGTGAAAATAATAGTGAAGTTACGATGATTTGTTCTAAAAACTATGAAAATGTGAAAGAACATGTTCACAATAGTTAAAATGAATACTTCTGTCAATTGTTGTTTACTATTAATAGTTATACTCCATCATTGTAAATAGCCATTTTACCTGTAATAAAACAGTAACTCAATTTCATATCTATATTGTGATTTTTTCTGTGGATTTGTCTGGACTTGAAGGTAAAAAATTTGAAATATTCTCTGAGGTCAGTGCATCACTATATACTGCTGCAGGTTCTCACTATAGGCATTTAAGCCAAAAATACAACTTTTTAGCTGCTAACATGGTTGCAAGTAATGGTAGTTTCTATCTAGAACAGAAAGAAATGCTCACAAACCTCTGAAAGTATTGATTATTAAATTCTTTCAAACCAGGCCAACAACACTTTTCATTTCTAAAGACTGACATGGGAAATTACAGTTGATTTGGTCGAATGGATTTCATCAACTGCTAGCTTCCTGTAAACAATTTAGTCAAGCCACAGAACAAACAATCTTTACTAGCCAATTTAAAATGACTTACACCAGACCCATAACAGTCTACTGATAAGGAATTCTTCACCACACTTTTGTAACGACTTCCGCTCAGGTGGACAAAATGTTAGTTTTTCTGTCACCGAAGGCTTATTGAAAATACCGGTAGCTGATCAAATTCACCGTTTACACTACCTTTATTCTTATGACCTTAATAATAATAATAATACTAATTTAATATTTATATTGCGCAAATTAACATGTGGATATGATCAAATGCACATCACAACACTTTTCGGGGGACTTTGGCCAGACTGCATCAGCAGTTTACAAACAATCGAAGGAAACTTATTTGAAGATGCCCCCTCCCCCCAATTCCCAGTAAACAGGCCAGACCACATCACAGTAATCTCGTGAGTGGGTTCTTTAACGTCCCCTGCCTAACCAAATTAACTAATTAGTAGATGCAGGAGACGGGACCTACGGTTTATTCATCCTTATCTGAGAAGACTAGAATGTCTATCCATTTCTTGACATTATAGAAAGGTAGCGCATTCTCCTCAGTTATTTTAAGATCTTGAGTGTTGGTCCGGCCCGGGCTCGAACCATCGACCTCGACCTCCCGCACAACAGTCCGGCACTCTAACCAATTGAGCTAACCAGGAGGCAGGTGTGATTCAGGAAAATTTCTTTAACAATCAAAAGCTTCTTTAGTTGGTGATCATTTTTATTCTCACGACCCCGATGTGTGATTCAGGGGTGATATTGTAAGGAGAAATTGGATACTAATCACTCAGAGGGATCAAAGGGTTAAAGAGAAAATGAATGATAGAGAAGCCACAGTTTGGCAACTTTTGCACCTAAACAATAATTCTCACTAATAATTACTGCTAATTGCCGTCGCAAAGTACAGCAACGATGCAGCTTGACAAGGTTGAACCGAAAGCTTACAATGGAGCCTCTGGCAGCAGCTGTATGGTCCATGTGTGAACTTGGAGCACAGCTCACAGCCAGCTGGAATCAGCTGTATGTTGGTTTTTGGTGAGGGAGGAAAACTAGAGAACCCTGAGAAAAACCCTTGAAGCAGGGAAGAGAACCAACACAAACTCAACCCTCTTAGGCGTCTGGTTCAGGCATTGAACCCGGGCCAAATTGGTGGGAGGCGAGTGCTCTCACCACTACGCCATCCCTGCACCTAAACAATGTGGTGTAAGATTGGATGTAAACATTTGTTTTCACTTAAGTCCTGTACTTGGGCAATAAAGTGTGGCAACATAAAAATGGGTGTAGTTTTGGTTGGAAAGCATGCATATGCTTTTGGACTTTTGCACTCCACTCAGTTCATTTATAGTACCCTTATGTTGAAAACCATTCACCACTTGCCATGGTGGGAGGAAAAAAAGCGAATAAGTTTCACTGTAGTTTTATTAGCAAATAAACTGTAGTTACGTTAAAAATCTTATTTCAGAAGTAAGTATGAACCATTTTATTGTATTTTTTATATAAACTTGGAAAAAATTAAATAACTAACCATATCTGCCAATGGGATCTAGAAACAGAGAGAGGGCTGGTTATTTAGTATAGACTAGGATATACTGTTTCATTTACATGGTACTGGTGTCTTTTGTTAGGGTTCCAGAGAAGAGCACCTTGCTTAAGGAGAGACTGAACTTAAAAATATAAATTTCAAGCACACCTTTGCAATTCACATTTCAGAGACTAGGAGAAAAAAATTTGTTTGGGTCCTTCAACATGCTCACCTCTGTACAATTAAAGTCCTTCTAAAAGTCAAAACGTTCCCTTTCCAAACAGATCTTCATCTGGGTTGTGTAAACCTCTTTGGATAAGTTCATGCATAACTAGTCAATCACAAGGTAAACAAAAATTTGTTCCCTAAACACAAGTGTCATCAAGATTTTCCTACAACTGGCCTTGGCTGATTTCCTCCTCCAGGTGGTGCTGGCATTCTTCCTGGTGGTGCCCCATGGGGTGGTCCCCCATGGGGTGGTCCCCCAGGAGGCGGTCTTACACCCCCTGGTGGTGGCATGGCCCCAGGGGGTGGAATAGGAAATGGTAAGGCTCCAGGGGGTGGTAAGGCTCCTGGTGGTGGCATCATTCCAGGGGGTGGAGGTGGTAACATTCCAGGGGGTGGCAGGTGAGTGACCTGTGGGGGTGGAATGGCAGTACCAGCTTGATAAGCAGCAGCTGAAAATGGAGAAAAAAACCACATTGATGTCATTGTGACAAAATGTTTCCAAGGCACCAGTGCACAAACTGCACGATGCTGCATACCTTGAAACATAACATTTTTCTTTCTAGTGTTAGTTTGGTTTAGAAAGCCTGTCCTCACAGGTACAGTATTGTAATTTTGTGTGCATTTTCAAGTCTCGTCTGTCTTGTTAAGGGAACAAAATAAAAAAAATTATGTGATAGACCACTTTCATAAATGGCCGCCGGATTAATATTCTTTTGTTTAAATTTAAATTAGCCTTTCTGGCCTCGTTCTCCAGTACAAAATTCAAAAGAATACATTATCTCAAGCGAGGCCAGAAAGGCTGATTTAAAATTTAAACAAAAGAATATTAATCTGGCAGCCATTTATGAAAGTGGTCAATAATAACAGGGTTTTGAAGCTTTCCCATTTGTAAAGTCTATCCAGTTTCAATAACAATCAATTCCCTACCAATGTTTGATGCATTTAAGTGAGTTTTTTTTTCCTTACACCTAACCATTGCAATCAAATTTTAATTCAATTCCCTTACCTCAAGAGTACTAAAATTGTCATGTGCACAGGCAAGTTTTGGTGAAAAATAGTTGTCTTTATGTAAATAGAGGTTGTCATGAAACACATACTTGTCTGATCAATCAAACTCTGTGCCTGTTCTTCCATCCACTTAGTGTAGTAAAATCTCACATTTTCCTTGTGTTTGCGGCCACCATTGTGGGTCTTCCGCACTGATGGCTAGGAGGTAGAAAAATAAGAAATCAATTATGTTAGCAAGTAAGGAAAGGAAGCTGTCTAGGTGTCATAATTCCAAGAAAGTACTCAAAAATTAAAGAGAAGGGTAAATACACCAATACCATTATCAAACAGCCAATGCATTACTGTGAGACTGACAAATCTGCTAATACAGACTAAATATATTCATGGAAAGTCTGCGTTTCTAGGAAAAAGCCAACAATGGTTGGAAAACTAAACTACAAAAAGCAACAGTACTATTTTTTCTTTAGTGAAGTTTGTGCCTATGTACCGAATTTTGTTGCGATTGGTCAGAACTGACCTGTCAGAATTATATCAAAGAATTTACATTTAGCTGAGTTTTATCGTTAGTACCATAGGGAACATTATTACAGAAACTTTAAATTAAAACTGAAATGAATTTAACTAATCGAGAGAACTTTAACCTGTTAGTTACCTAAGAAGAGTAAAAGACAAATGAAGGAAGCAAGGAGAAAGAGAGAGAGAGAGAGAGAAAAAGCTTAAAATTTTAGAGTACCCTTGTAGAAAGATACAGGATTTAACATGCAAAAGATGGTAAATTCACAAAGAGACATGAATGTTTTGTGCAAACACAAAAAGGGAAGAAAATCAGAGCATTGGAATGAAGAATAAGTGCGGAACTGGATAAGGTTAACGTCGTTTCTCAAACGAAATCTAAACAAATAAATAGACTCACTTACCGAGTCATGAGTTAAGTAAGTGTCACAGTAATCGCAATAATACCTAGAGCGGAAAGGTAAGGATATCGTTATGTAAAGGAAAACAGGAAGCAAGAGTTCCCCACGAAATAGAGCTCAGAAAAAGTAATATCAGGTTGTAATTTAGTTAGAAATCTACTCTACTTACTTGGGCATTTTAGTCCAGTTAGGTCGCCACGTTTGCGCATTAAAAAGCTACGCATAAATTTCGCCAAGTTGCCGCTTTGGAATAAAAAGCTGGCTCGCTTTGGAAGTTGCGTCACACGTGGGTCAAGTAATTAACATGGCGATGCTCGCAGAGCCGAAATCGAAGCAAAAATGGAGCAGCGATCCGCGAAATACAGCTTGGACCAATGGTAGAGAACCATCTATTTGTTAAACGTCTTCCCCTGGCTTTTCATCACTTGAAATTGTCTAGGTTAATTGATAGATCGCCTATAAACTGATTGAGTTTTGACCAGCCAATCTATCAGCCAATGCTTGCCTAGCTTGCACCTTTTCTCATGATTAGTCAATGGAAGAATGTAACAAAGTGTTGATTGTTTTGAATGGAGCAGAAGCTCGAAGTTCCACGATAGCTCAAAGTTTATGTAACATGTTCAATACACACTCGAAGAGATCCGCAGAAAGGTTGATGGTAGACTAAAGGGAATTTCTAAGAATTCAACCTTTACTTCAGAGTGGCTATATCGAAGATATCTTTTTAAGAAGGAAAAAGATTATCCGAGTGTTAATTTTTTAAAATATTTTGTTCAGATACCAGCCGGTTTGGTTACCAGATGTTGACTAAAATGGGATGGGAGAATGGAAAAGGACTAGGTGCTAAGGAAGACGGAACTAAAACACATGTCAAATCTGTTAAAAGACAGAATAACTTAGGTAAGAAAACGAAATTCTGGTGGCATTCCTGTTAAAGGTTGCATGCCTTTCTAGATTAAATCTGTCCTTGTAATGTAAACCCTTGGAAAATGTGAGCTTTAGAACTTCTTTATGGTGGCCAATAAATTACATTAACAACTTAGTTGGTGAATCCAAATAATCTTGTGGTGCCACCTATGTGGCACCAATCAACACCAGTTATAGTTACAATGAATTTATATGAAGTTCATATGTTTTGAACTGTGGTATTAAATACGTAAGATGCATGATCCTTCGCAGTAGATAGCGCTATTTATGAAGTAGTGAAAATCAGACCTTAAAAAAAAAAAAATCAGGCCTGTACAGGATTAGAACCACTGACCTCTGCGATACTAGTGCAGCGCTCTACCAATTGAGCTAACAAGCCAACTGGGAGCAGGCCGTTAAGTTGATTCGTAATAAACCCATAATGATAAATCAGATACAATGAATATATATGAAGTTCATATATATTTTGAANTATACTATTCAAGAACTTACTTTGCCACACATCATTTACAAATGTGTGGTAGAACGCTGCACTAGTATCGCAGAGGTAAGTGGTTCGAATCCCGTACCGGCCTGATTTTTTTAAGGTCTGATTTTCGCTATTGCATAAATAGCGCTATCTACTGCGAAGGATCGTGCATCATACGTACCAGTTATAGTGTGGCAGACATCTATCATGAGAAACCATTTGTGATATGAAGATTTGCAGCTCATTCGTGGGTATACATGAGGTGGTGCTTACATCTGCATTTCGTCATAATGGAATATGCTAATAAGAATTAACCAACTGTTTTTTTGTATGTGATGTTTAGGTCTGGGTGCTGAGAAGTCTCATGAAGACAACTGGATATCACACCAGGTAGCATTTGATGATCTACTATCTCAGCTGAATAGTCATGCAGAAAATGACAATGGTGAGATAACTAATAGTTTTAAATATGTGTTTGAACATCCATCATAACTACCATACACCGAATCGAAATATGGTGTCCAATTTGTATTGCCATTGTTCTGGACTCACTAGCCTCTCACACACGTGATAATCCTTTTGTGTTTCCATGTGAAGACGAGGCTGGTAAGTCCAAAACAATGGTAATTCAAATTGGATGCCATATTTCGATTCGGTGAATGGGTTTCTATGGAAAGCTTTGTTTTTGTTATTTTCTGTGTATGAGGAAAGTTAGAGTTTTGAGGTGTAGTTTGTCTTTCATCTGTGTATTACAGAGGAAAAGTCAGTGAAGAAGGAAAAGAGTCATGAAATGGAAAAGAAAGCACGACAGTCACGAAAAAGAGTATTGTAAGTTCCTTACTCTCAGAGAAACCTCTCCAAAATCACTTTTAGTCGCTAGAAACCTCATTTAAATAACAGTCCTGTACAAAATTTTTAATCTGCTCTGCATCAGGGTCCATATTCTCAATACTGTACTTTATAAGATGCAGTGGGAGACTAAAAGTTTTGCTTAACAAGCAAATGACTTGGTTGAGGCTTGAACCTGTATCACCTGTTGACTGACAGCTCAACATGTCAACTGTTAGGTGGCTTTGTGTCTTCTACTTTAGTTGAAGGTTCCACAAACATTGAAGCAATTTAAGACACAAGAACTTTTAGTTGACGTACATCTCATGTGAAAGGCAGTGTACGCAATAAGTTTAGATGTACCTCCCCACTTCTCAACATAGACATGAGGATGTGAAATGAAATTGTGGTTTGTAGAAAAACATTGAACATGGGAGTTAAGGCTAGGAGGATTACCCTAAAAATATATGTAATCAGTCTCTTTTAGATAAAGAGCAGAAGTTAGTTAGAAGTTTCATTTTTCCTTGGCTTTGGTACACAGAACATGATATGTTTGGACCATATATATAGGATTCCACGTGCGAATTTTTCAACGTATTCTCTAGCCCGAAGTTTTCGTTGCCGAACTTAGACTCTTTAACTTAAACCTCGGCGCCATCGCTACAGTCAGGAAACATTTGTAAGTCTTTAAATTCTGTCTTATATGTTTATCGTCGCTCGGCCCTTCTTCTCGTGTATTTTTATTTATTTTCGTAGTCGAACCTCGCTCGCTCACTCGTTCAATCACAAACCTCAATCGGCTCCTCGAGTCTTATCAACCGAGCGCGAGTTCGAAATTTTTCTAGACGTAGCATCGGCAAGAACTGTAAGCTACACTATATGTGTGCAAGTATCATTGACTGACTGACTGTTTTGTATCTATAGTTATAATCGCTTCATTCAGAGTAAGGATTTGTCATCCAAATCAGCAGAAGACATGGCATGCATCCTCGGTCAGAGGAGTAAGTCAGCTCCTGGAACTCCTCAAGAACAGTCAGAGGTTGGTTCAAACATCTTAATTCTTCATACCTTCTCTAGAAATTTTCTGGCGAGGCTATGGGAGAATTTCATTTTGATAGCCTTTGTTCTGATTTACCGAAATGTATCGTACTGGTTTTTTTGTTTTGTTTTGCTTTGCTTGTGTGTGTGTGTGTGTGTGTGTGTTTCTTTGTTTTTCTTATGGTCCCTGATTTGAGTGAACGGTGCTTTCTTTTGTTTAAATTCGGGTTTATTCGAGGTCAGCTATAATCCAGTAAACGCGGTTAATTTATAACAAAGCTCTTTGAGAGTTTTTGTATAAATATACTTTGCTCATAAGCCACTTTCCCCCCAATGTAGGACGAAGAATCGGACGAGAGTACTGCTTCCTGTCCGCCGCCATCTTCTCACGGTGTGCAGACTGTAAACTCTGGAAAAAGCATTCAGGAATACTTCGAGATGAAAATGAAGGAGATGGAAGCAGCTCGAGAGAGAAAACAGACAGTGGAAGCTAGAGCCACTCGGGAAGAAACAGTTTCAGGACAAGATCATGGCGAAGAGGTTGGGGAGTCAGAGCCAAAGAAGAAGAGAAAGAAAGAGAGTAAAAGAAAGCGTAAACAAGCGATTGAAGATGGAGAATTGGTCAATAACGTAAGAGTTTAGCATTCCATCAATATGCAATGTGCGGCTGGAAAGAGAAAGAAATACGGCGCGGTTGAAAAAACAAAATCTGGATCGGAGAGTGAATGCAAACCCTCGAAGGACAAGACAGAAGAAAAAGGAAAGAAGAAAAAAACAAAAGAAATTT